TCTTGGAAGTCCAAGACAAGATGAGTACTGGCTGCAACCTTCAACTCCAAATATTTGATACCAAGAGGCACCGATGTCAGATAAGCATGTTGAGGTGTCAGCCTGAGTTCAAAGCCTAAGTTCCTCATCTGTGGCAAGCTCATAAGCAAAGGGACTTCTCCTTCTTCCACTATGTCGAACTCTGTATGGTGGATCGTCCATGCACGATCATACATGTAAATCACCAGTTTCTGAGAGCAAGTAGCCTTCTGGGAATTGGCAAAGTAAAACTTGCTCTTGGTAGCCTCAAAGGAGTACCATAATCCACAATCTGGGTGATTGTCGACATAGTTGCAAAAATGGTCGACTGCTCGCCTTGATCCCATAGCTCTAGTGCATCCAATGTCCAGGATTGCAATAGTCGGCGGGAAGCGATTCTCAGTCAAAAATGAAATGGCCTGCATCTCCTTCACTTCTTCCTCAGCGCTCATAAGCGCAAAGCCATCAGGAGCCTTTGTGAGCATCTCCTTTGACAAAGAGTACCTCACAGGGGCACCCATGCCATTGAAGATCGTCTCACCATTGTTGACCGCGCAGTCAGCTTCATCTTGACATGAGGTCATCACGCCTGACAGCAAGTCCACCTCACTGTCATGGACTTCAGCTGCTGCTGTCACACAATGTGCAAAGAAACCTTGTTGACCTCCTGATGCTTGTGAAGTTCTTGAAGGTGCAGGTAAAGAACGTGGCTGTTGTGGATTTGCATAGTTTGCATCTTGTTTGCCATCTCCTTTATCTTTTCCTTTTCCTTTCTTGCCTTTTCTCTTGCCTTTTCCTTTTCCCTTGTGGGAAAACCATGCTTCTTCAAGCTGTTGCCAAAAGTCATTGGCATCATCATATTCTCCTTGAAGATAGTCATTCATATCCTCGGCAAGAATGGCATCATATGCTACTTGGTTTGACTCCCAAGTGTCCTCATAAGGATTCTCTTCAAAGTACTCTTCTGGATATGTTGTCTGTTGCTCATCAGCAAAATGGCCTTTACCTCGTCTCTTTCCTTTTCCTTTTCCACGAGGTCTGAAGAATCTGCGGCCTGATCTTCCTTTTCCTTTTCCTTTTCTTCTTCCTTTTCCTTTGCCTTTTCTGGCTCTTCTTCCTTGGAATCTCCTTTGGAACCACGAGAAGTTTTGATCATCATATACCCAAAAGACATCGTCCAGGGCATCTAAAAATCCTTCTGTTCCATCTTCTTCATCTTCGGCCCAATAGCCAAATGTACCATCGAGTTCTCCTTCGTCTAGTACGAGAAATGATCTTCTACCTCCAGCACCTGTCGGCTGCATCAAAGGATTGTCTACTGAAGTCTTTGTCGTGCAGAACATCTCGATGAACACTGTCCTCAACTCTGTTGTAGTATACTGCTGCAGGACCCTGCCACGATGAGTCATCAATGAAGTCAAAGTGTTTCGCTGGTCCTGAGACAAATCTGCAAGGGACAGCATGAGTAGGGCAATGAGATTCTCTCCTAAAGGAAAATCATTCTGATGAAGAATTCTCATATTGCCATTGACATTCTGCATGATTTCCTGAATCCTTTCTGCCGTTGGTGCTACTCCAGTCAACGCTGCATCTGCCTGCATCTGAGCTAGGACTTGTGGATGTGCTTGAGTGACTGGTTCTAACATGTCCATCCAACTGCTCATAAGCCTTTGGAGTAAAATCTGGAATCTTGTCATCCATTTCATCATGTCAGCTGATCCTCGATTGAAGCGCACGAATTGCATGAACCTATACAGGAATACATTGGTTGATCCTTTCACGAAATATGGTCGTAGTACTCGTTTGAAATATTCTACGCCGGCTCCTGGTGGATCATTTGCCTTCAATGCATCTCTGTCTAAAAGACGCTTGTATACAGCTGCTTCTCCTTCTAATCTGTTTCTCAATGCTGGTCCTCTCTTCTCATCTTCCAGCTCGGTGATATCACACCAATCGTCTATGGCATCCTCATAGGAAAACCATGAAGTCTTTCCATCATAAGATGGGGGCACCTTTGTAGTGACCTGTGTTGTCATTGCTATTGCTGCTGGTTCTCTTCTCACATGCCTATTCACGTAGGCTGCTGGCTCATAAGCCACATCCGCATCAGGCTCTTCCCAGTCGTCAATCCAATCCATGGCCGTTTGCCCACAAGCAATTCTATGCCTAGGAAAGGAGCTCACCTGGGTCTTCCAGGATCACTGCTCCGCTACCACTGAAAGAGTGACTAGGGCGTACACGGT